TAAAGAGTCCTCTCCTGCTGATGTTCAGGTGTATATCAGTATGTAGTGTCTCTACTTTAAAGAGTCCTCTCCTGCTGATGTTCAGGGTGTATATCAGTATGTAGTGTCTCTACTTTAAAGAGTCCTCTCCTGCTGATGTTCAGGTGTATATCAGTATGTAGTGTCTCTACTTTAAAGAGTCCTCTCCTGCTGATGTTCAGGTGTATATCAGTATGTAGTGTCCTCTACTTTAAGAGTCCTCTCCTGCTGATGTCCTCTCCTGCTGATGTTCAGGTGTATATCAGTATGTAGGTCTCTCCTTAAAGAGTCCTCTCCTGCTGATGTTCAGGTGTATATCAGTATGTAGTGTCTCTCCTTTAAAGAGTCCTCTCCTGCTGATGTTCAGGTGTATATCAGTATGTAGTGTCTCTACTTTAAAGAGTCCTCTCCTGCTGATGTTCAGGTGTATATCAGTATGTAGTGTCTCTACTTTAAAGAGTCCTCTCCTGCTGATGTTCAGGGTGTATATCAGTATGTAGTGTCTCTACTTTAAAGAGTCCTCTCCTGCTGATGTTCAGGTGTATATCAGTATGTAGTGTCTCTACTTTAAAGAGTCCTCTCCTGCTGATGTTCAGGTGTATATCAGTATGTAGTGTCTCTACTTTAAAGAGTCCTCTCCTGCTGATGTTCAGGTGTATATCAGTATGTAGTGTCTCTACTTTAAAGAGTCCTCTCCTGCTGATGTTCAGGTGTATATCAGTATGTAGTGTCTCTACTTAAAGAGTCCTCTGCTGCTGATGTTCAGGTGGTATACAGTATGTAGTAGTCTCTACTTAAAGAGTCCTCTCTGCTGATGTTCAGGTGTATCATCAGTATGTAGTGTCTCTACTTTATTAAAAGACTCCTCTCCTTGCTGATGTTCAGGGTGTATATCAGTATGTAGTGTCCTCTACTTTAAAGAGTCCTCTCCTGCTGTGTTCAGTGTATATCAGTATGTAGTGTCCTCGACTTTAAAGAGTCCTCTCCATCGCTGATGTTCAGGTGTATCTCAGTATGTAGTGGTCTCTACTTTAAGAGTGCCCTCTCCTGCTGTATGTTCAGGTGTATATCAGTATGTAGGTCTCTACTTTAAAAGATGTCCTCTCCTGCTGGATGTTTCAGGTGTATATCAGTATGTAGTGGTCTCTACTTTAAAGAGTCCTCTCCTGCTGATGTTCAGTGTGTATATCCGTATGGTAGTGTCTCTACTTTAAGAGTCCCTCTCCTGCTTGATGTTCAGGGGTATATCAGTATGTAGTGTCTCTCCTTTAAAGAGTCCTCTCCTGCTGATGTTCAGGTGTATATCAGTATGTAGTGTCTCTCCTTTAAAGAGTCCTCTCCTGCTGATGTTCAGGTGTATATCAGTATGTAGTGTCTCTCCTTTAAAGAGTCCTCTCCTGCTGATGTTCAGGTGTATATCAGTATGTAGTGTCTCTACTTTTAAAGAGTCCTCTCCTGCTGATGTTCAGGTGTATATCAGTATGTAGTGTCTCTACTTTAAAGAGTCCTCTCCTGCTGATGGTCAGGTGTATATCAGTATGTAGTGGTCTCTACTTTAAAGAGTCCTCTCCTGCTGATGTTCAGGTGTATATCAGTATGTAGTGTCTCTACTTTAAAGAGTCCTCTCCTGCTGATGTTCAGGTGTATATCAGTATGTAGTGTCTCTACTTTAAAGAGTCCTCTCCTGCTGATGTTCAGGTGTATATCAGTATGTAGTGTCTCTACTTTAAAGAGTCCTCTCCTGCTGATGTTCAGGTGTATATCAGTATGTAGTGTCTCTACTTTAAAGAGTCCTCTCCTGCTGATGTTCAGGTGTATATCAGTATGTAGTGTCTCTACTTTAAAGAGTCCTCTCCTGCTGATGTTCAGGTGTATATCAGTATGTAGTGTCTCTACTTTAAAGAGTCCTCTCCTGCTGATGTTCAGGTGTATATCAGTATGTAGTGTCTCTACTTTAAAGAGTCCTCTCCTGCTGATGTTCAGGTGTATATCAGTATGTAGTGTCTCTACTTTAAAGAGTCCTCTCCTGCTGATGTTCAGGTGTATATCAGTATGTAGTGTCTCTACTTTAAAGAGTCCTCCTCCTGCTGATGTCAGGTGTATATCAGTATGTAGTGTCTCTCCTTTAAAGAGTCCTCTCCTGCTGATGTTCAGGTGTATATCAGTATGTAGTGTCCTCTCCTTTAAAGGAGTCCTCTCCTGCTGATGTTCAGGTGTATATCAGTATGTAGTGTCTCTCCTTTAAAGAGTCCTCTCCTGCTGATGTTCAGGTGTATATCAGTATGTAGTGTCTCTACTTTAAAGAGTCCTCTCCTGCTGATGTTCAGGTGTATATCAGTATGTAGTGTCTCTAATTTAAAGAGTCCTCTCCTGCTGATGGTCAGGTGTATATCAGTATGTAGTGTCTCTACTTTAAAGAGTCCTCTCCTGCTGATGTTCAGGTGTATATCAGTATGTAGTGTCTCTACTTTAAAGAGTCCTCTCCTGCTGATGTTCAGGTGTATATCAGTATGTAGTGTCTCTACTTTAAAGAGTCCTCTCCTGCTGATGTTCAGGTGTATATCAGTATGTAGTGTCTCTACTTTAAAGAGTCCTCTCCTGCTGATGTTCAGGTGTATATCAGTATGTAGTGTCTCTACTTTAAAGAGTCCTCTCCTGCTGATGTTCAGGTGTATATCAGTATGTAGTGTCTCTACTTTAAAGAGTCCTCTCCTGCTGATGTTCAGGTGTATATCAGTATGTAGTGTCTCTACTTTAAAGAGTCCTCTCCTGCTGATGTTCAGGTGTATATCAGTAGGTAGTGTCTCTACTTTAAAGAGTCCTCTCCTGCTGATGTTCAGGTGTATATCAGTATGTAGTGTCTCTCCTTTAAAGAGTCCTCTCCTGCTGATGTTCAGGTGTATATCAGTATGTAGTGTCTCTCCTTTAAAGAGTCCTCTCCTGCTGATGTTCAGGTGTATATCAGTAGGTAGTGTCTCTACTTTAAAGAGTCCTCTCCTGCTGATGTTCAGGTGTATATCAGTATGTAGTGTCTCTCCTTTAAAGAGTCCTCTCCTGCTGATGTTCAGGTGTATATCAGTATGTAGTGTCTCTCCTTTAAAGAGTCCTCTCCTGCTGATGTTCAGGTGTATATCAGTATGTAGTGTCTCTACTTTAAAGAGTCCTCTCCTGCTGATGTTCAGGTGTATATCAGTATGTAGTGCTCTACTTTAAAGAGTCCTCTCCTGCTGATGTTCAGGGTATATCAGTATGTAGTGTCTCTACTTTAAAGAGTCCTCTTCCTGCAGTGATGTTCAGGAGGGTGTATATCAGTATGTAGATGGTCTCTACTTTAAGAGTCCCTCTCCTGCTGATGTTTCAGGTGTATATCATTATGTAGTGTCTCTACGTTTTAAAGAGTCCCTCTCCTGCTGATAGTTCAGGATGTATATCAGTATGTAGTGTCTCTACTTTTAAAGAGCTACCTCTCCTACTGATGTTCAGGTGTATATCAGTAGTAGCTGTCTCTACTTTAAAGAGTCCTCTCCTGCTGATGTTCAGGTGATATCAGTAGGTAGTGTCCTCTACTTTTAAAGAGTCCTCTCCTGCTCATGTTCAGGTGTATATCAGTATGTAGTGTCTCTCCTTTAATAAAGAGTCCTCTCCTGCTGATGTTCAGGTGTATATCAGTATGTAGTGTCTCTACTTTAAAAGAGTCCTCTCCTGCTGATGTTCAGGTGTATATCAGTATGTAGTGTCTCTACTCTTTAAAGAGTCCTCTCCTGCTGATGTTCAGGTGTATATCGTATGTAGTGTCTCTACTTTAAAGAGTCCTCTCCTGCTGATGTTCAGGTGTATTCAGTAATGTAGTGTCTCTACTTTAAAGAGTCCTCTCCGGCTGATGTTCAGGGTGTATATCAGTATGTCGTGGCTCTCTACTTTAAAGAGTCCCTCTCCTGCTGATGTTCAGGTGATATCAGTATGTAGTGTCTCTACTTTAAAGAGCTACTCTCCTGCTGATGTTCAGGTGTATATCAGTATGTAGTGTCTCTACTTTAAAGAGTCCTCTCCTGCTGATGTTCAGGTGTATAGCAGTATGTAGTGTCCTCTACTTTAAAGAGTCCTCTCCTGCTGATGTTCAGGTGTATATCAGTATGTAGTGTCTCTCCTTTTAAAGAGGTCCTCTCCTGCTGATGTTCCAGGTGTATATCAGTATGTAGGGTCTCTCCTTTAAAGAGTCCTCTCCTGCTGATGTTCAGGTGTATATCAGTATGTAGTGTCTCTACTTTAAAGAGTCCTCTCCTGCTGATGTTCAGGTGTATATCAGTATGTAGTGTCTCTACTTTAAAGAGTCCTCTCCCTGCTGATGTTCAGGTGTATATCAGTAGGTAGTGTCTCTACTTTAAAGAGTCCTCTTCCTGCTGATGTTCAGGTGTATATCAGTATGTAGTGTCTCTACTTTAAAGAGTCCTCTCCTGCTGATGTTCAGGTGTATATCAGTATGTAGTGTCTCTACTTTAAAGAGTCCTCTCCTGCTGATGTTCAGGTGTATATCAGTATGTAGTGTCTCTACTTTAAAGAGTCCTCTCCTGCTGATGTTCAGGTGTATATCAGTATGTAGTGTCTCTACTTTAAAGAGTCCTCTCCTGCTGATGTTCAGGTGTATATCAGTATGTAGTGTCTCTACTTTAAAGAGTCCTCTCCTGCTGATGTTCAGGTGTATATCTCTCATACTGCCTGTGCTGCAGCACCTCTTTTCACCCTCTGTCTGAAATGAGAGCCCCAGTCTGCTCTGATTGGTTAGCTGGTCGGTTCTGTTGGCCTATCACGTACAACGAGTGCGAGCCAATAACACTTTCAGGAAAGGGGAAAAAACCCCAAAAGAAGAATGGAGCCTCTTTACACGAGACTACATGTTAGAATAAAGTGAACACTGGCCTGTTTTAGGGTTAACATAAACTCATCATTAAACTCACCCTAACGCCCCTCTCCTCTCCTCTCACCTTTGCTGGTGCGAGCAGCGATGAGTCCCGGTGTTTCTCCCAGGTCGTTGTGGATCTCCACGTCCGCCCCGAACACGATCAGAGCTTTGATCAGCTCCATGTGATCCATCTGAGGAACACAGCCACACACATGGTCAGACACACACACACACACACCACACACACACACACACACACACACACCACACACACACACACACACACCACACACACACACATCACACACACACACACACACACACACAGACACACCACACACACAACACACACACACACACACACAACAACACACACACACCACACACACACACACACCACACACACACCCACACACAACACACACACACATACCACACACACACTACACACACACAACAACGACACACCATCACCACACCCCACACACACACACACACACACATCTATCACACCCACATCACACACAACACAGCAACACCACACCACACACACACACTCACACACACAACACACACACACAAACACACACACACACACCACACCTTCACTGGCGAGGTGCAGCGCCGTGTTTCCGTGCTGGCCCTTCAGGTTGGCGTTGGCTCCGTTTGGGGGGGGGGGTGGGGGGTGAGCAGCACCATGGCCGCCCCGAAGCGCCCCCTCCTGGTGAGGATATGAAGCGCGCTCTCTCCGGTCTTGCTGAGGTAGTTCACCGCGCAGCCGTGCTCCAGCAGCAGGCGGCACATCTGGAGAAAGAGAGGCGGGGAGGGGGGATATTTAAACATCCTCTTAACGTGTCAACCAGAATCAGAATACCTTTGCTGGTCACGCAGAGAGGAAATGTCATTTGTTACAGCAATTAAAGAGACAGGCCATCAGACTGCTAAACACCTGAGCTGTGAAGTGCCTCCATAAACATTCATCTGTTTGTCATCTTGCAATATACTTATTTATTTAAATAGTTATCACCGCAATAAACCGTATTTAATGTTGTCTTAATGTACAAAACGTGATCCGTCTCTTCAATGTGTCTCAACCACAGACCTTAGTTCAGCTATTTTCCAGAGCCTATGGAGAGATCCCATTGGCTCTGAGACGAGGGAACAGGAAGTGGTGAAATGCTGACTCACTTCCTTTGGGACTCGTCACTGCACCACTCTATATGGACGTACATGATAATCAATCTGGATTTGTGATGGTATTTATGATGTAATGTTCCCACCTCAGCAGTTTTGCTCCAGTGCAGCGGCGTTCCTCCGTACAGAGAGTCTTCAGCCTGCAGCTGCCCGGCGTCGGCCTTCAGGATCTCCTCCACACAGCTGGCAAGAAAACACAACATTTAAGAAACTATATTTGAGTTAAAAGTGGTTTAAAGCCCAAAGACTCACGAGGGAAAGTCTTAAAACAGGTTTAAATATCCTGGGAATTGAAAAGAAAAGTGGTTCAAAGGTCAAAGATGGGTTCGGGTAACAGTAAAGCGGGAACATGTGTTGTCTGGGGATGAACATGGAGGAACGAGAAGGATGAAAGGAATATAAAAAGGTTAGAAAAGTGTCAAACTATAATTTCACAGGAAGACTAGGGGTAGAGGAACGAGAGAATTTGGTTCGGGATATTTCCAAATATCTGGAACGAACTACCAGAAACCAGAAAGATTCTCTCTCTTTTTGATCCATTTCTATAAAAACCTGTCTGAAAATGAGCTGATCAGATTTTGGCCACTTGATGATGTCATAACGATGTTTTGTCTTGTGTAACCATTAGCCAATCACCAACCAAGGTAACCCCCCCCCCCCCCCCCCCTTATCACCTGATTCTCCTCCTAGAGCACCATTGAGTTCTTTGTAACCAAATGTCTCTCAGAGGGGCGTGGGGAGGGGCTCCTTATTTTCATCTAAAGTAACAGACAGAGAATCAGCACTTTGGAAACAGGGCTGAAACAGAGGGGATTATGGGTAATGCTGCAATGATCTGTTTGGTGTTTCAGCCAATCAGAGACAGGCTCTGGATATATCTGAGACCTGTGATATATTGATGAAGAAACCTTGAAGTTGTTTCTTGTTTTTCACTCACCCCTTCTCGCTGTACTTCATGGCGCTGTGGATGGGGTACCCCACCCCTCCGATGACATCACACTTGGCTCCGCCCCCCAACAGAGCTTTGACGGACTCGACTCGGCCGAGGCGACAGGAAACGTGCAGCGGCGTCTCCCCGTGGAGATTCAGCTCGTTCACGCCCGAACACATCCGAGAGCACATGACCTGAGGGAGGGAGGGGGGGGGGGGGGGGGGGGGGGGGAGGGGGGGAGGGGGTTAACATGCAGCGCAGTTCAAGCTTTAAGGCAAGGCAAGTTTAATTATACAGCACCTTTCAACACAAGGCAATTCAAAGTGCTTTACAAACATGAAAGACATTAAGCATTAAGAAATAGTGCGGCAGAAACATAGAATAAAATGGCTTTAAAAGACTCTTTAACCTCTTAAGCCCTGAGCCTGTTTTTCAGGTCTCGGGCTCGAAAATGACATTCCCAGAACAAATGACCATATCTTCCCTTCTAAAAGGGGAAAATTAATAATCTTTTTTCTCAAAGTAATGATGAACCTGTGAGTTGGATGTAGAAAAGTCAGAATCAATATAGATGTTTTTTATTTTAAAGAAAATTCAGATTGAACATAGTAAAAAACTGTAAATTATAGTGTCCGTCCAAAAATTATTTTGTACTTATAGTGAAAACTACCCTTGGATGATGGTAAGGTAGACTAAAAGCTTTAGGAATCCAAATTACAACATATAATAAGTACCCTGTATCAAGATTGATGCAAAACAAGTGAAATTTGACCTTTTTAGAGAGGTTTAGCCAAAAGAAACCACTTCTGGGGTCATTTGGGTGGATTTTCCATATCTCTGGAACCCATTGGTCGATTTTGATGATTGACATCTCTTTCTGACCGTTAGAGCCAATAGAATCGAAGGGGAATTTCCACATACACACCAACGTTACCATTGAGAAATGAGAGCTATGCGCAAGCAGTTTGCCAAAACCGAAACCTATCTCACGCTCTGAAATCTGAAAACTTAAAAGTAGGTTTATTTCTGATGGATTATCAGAAATCATTTCAAAGTGACACAGACACATTGGATCAACCTATGGATCAACTTCAGCAGCGTTTTAATCGTTTGAATGCCATTGAAGACAACTTTTGATCAGACAACAACAGAGGTAAGACATATTGCCGTGGTTGCTACCTAATGCCACGTGTTGCAAATGTATTTTAGCCCTAAACCATTCAATGCTTTATAAACCAGTATCTGTGACCTTGAAACCACTTCTCTTTTAAACTCCCAGAATTAGGATATGTAAACCTGTTTTTAGACTTCCCTCTTGAATCTGTGGCCTTTAAACCACTTTTCGGTGGTTGCTGGTTGTTTCTCGTTGTTTCCTCCGGGCAGTGACCCCTCACCTTGATGATGGCGGGCGTGTCCTGCTTGGCGGCGCAGTGCATGGGCGTCTCTCCGTCCTGGTCCTTGATGTCGGTTCGAGCCTGGCTCTCCTCCAGCAGCTCCGTCACACACGCCGTGTCGCCGCGCACGCACGCCCGGTGCAGAGGCGTCTGACCCGAGGCGTCCCGGGAGTTAATCTGACTGCACAGAGACAGAGAGGGCAAGAGTACACACATCCTTTACTCAAGTAGAAGTACACACATCCTTTACTCAAGTAGAAGTACACACATCCTTTACTCAAGTAGAAGTACACACATCCTTTACTTGAGTAGAAGTACACACATCCTTTACTCGAGTAGAAGTACACACATCCTTTACTCGAGTAGAAGTACACGCATCCTTTCCTCGAGTAGAAGTACACGCATCCTTTCCTCGAGTAGAAGTACACACATCCTTTACTCGAGTAGAAGTACACACATCCTTTACTCGAGTAGAAGTACACACATCCTTTACTCGAGTAGAAGTACACGCATCCTTTACTCGAGTAGAAGTACACGCATCCTTTACTCGAGTAGAAGTACACGCATCCTTTACTCGAGTAGAAGTACACGCATCCTTTCCTCAAGTAGAAGTACACACATCCTTTACTCAAGTAGAAGTACACGCATCCTTTCTCAAGTAGAAGTACACGCATCCTTTCCTCGAGTAGAAGTACACACATCCTTCACTCGAGTAGAAGTACACACATCCTTTACTCGAGTAGAAGTACACACATCCTTTACTCGAGTAGAAGTACACACATCCTTTACTCGAGTAGAAGTACACACATCCTTTACTCGAGTAGAAGTACACACATCCTTTACTCGAGTAGAAGTACACACATCCTTTACTCGAGTAGAAGTACACACATCCTTTACTCAAGTAGAAAGTACAGGTATTTTCATTGGGATATATATTTTTTTAAATCCTCTGGAGCAGAGAGAGGAGCTGTGGATTGTTGTTATTGATGAATGCATCAGTGTTTCTTAGGATCAAAAACACTGAACTCACAACTTAAAATGAAAGTGTTTAGTTTATTTAATAAAAGAGCACATGTTCAATGTCAAAAGTGACAGTAGATATAGATTAGTTGCAATTTGGTGCTATATATATATATACAGTATTTATAAAACGGACAAGTCAAATCAAGCAATCTGATTGGTTCTTAGCCGTGGTATACTGAGCGTATACCACGGGTAGAATTGTAAGTTACTTTTCACAACAAGTCAGTATCCCTCCGCGTCTGAGAAAAACAGTACAGTTGGGCTGAAAAGCAAACTGCAGTTTGTTTTTCAAACTGGGACAAGAAAGCAGCGGAGAAGTAACGGAGCAGAAACCCTCCTTTTTACGCAGCGGTCCAGACATAGACATCAAACGGCAAAAACATATTCAGTGTGCAGTTCCTTTGGCATTAGGGCAGGGATATTTAGATACTTTCCAAGGTTTGACATAATGAAGCAAGCAACGATGTTTTAAATCTGTAATCAAAAAGGTCCGCAAAAACATTTAAGATTAACTTCGACCTCCGGGGGGGTCTTACTATGGAGGAGTGGATTGAGCAGTGCCTATCTCCAGAACAAAAAGCACCTAAACGACGACATGCAGAGCTACGTGAAGAGCAGGTAGACCAACTGGAAAAGTATCACCATTCAAAAGCTTTCTGATGTCTTGAAACAAAGCAGAGAAATTATGACCGTTAGTGGCCACAGGTGAGAAAGCTCTCTCCAGAGCTACTGGAAGCCGAATCTCGGGGACCGGAGAAAGTGGAGCAATATTCTCGCCACGCCAAAGAACAGCCTAGAACAACCTCAGCCTATACAAGTAACCACGTAAGCCATGCTACTGATGCTGGACAGGTTTTCAGTGGCTGCACAATAAACGGCAACATACACATTAATGTAAATAAATAGCCAAATAATGGATCAACGCTCTCTGTCTAATATGTTCGCTAGCTGTTAGTGTAGTTGCATAGCAACCACCTCGCACTGTTTCGTGCAGAAGGCAACGGAGGGACTATTTTATTTTGAACATCATTATTTACTAATAAAAACTATTTAAATTGGAGTGTGTATTTTTCTTTCATATTGCCACACTTGGTAACCGTTTTATAAAAGCAGTAGCTCACTTCAGGCCGTGATATATGATCGACCCTCCGCTTCGCGTCGGGCCGATCCACGCCCCTTAACTGTGATATAATGGCCATATACCACGGCCTGTCGTGAGCTATTGCTTAAATATTTAACCTGTTAAGCACGAAGCCTGTTTTTCATGTTTCAGGCTCGAAATTGACATGCCCAAAACAAATGAATATGAATATGAATTTTTATAATTCTTTTTTAACCTGTTACTAACAGGTTAAAAAAGAATTATAAAAATTAATATTTTCTTAACCTGTTAAGCACCTAGCCTGTTTTTCATGTTTCAGGCTAGAAAATGACATGCCCAAAACAAATGACTACAACTTAACTTCTAAAAGGGTTATATGAATAATTTCTTTTATCAAAGCAAGGTTACATCTGTGAGTTGGATGTAGAAATGTCAGAATCAATATAGATGTTTTTTATTTTAAAGAAAATTCAGATTTTACATAGTAAAAAACTGTAAATTATAGTGTCCGTCCAAATATTATTTTTTACAGATAGTGAAAACTACCCTTGGATGATGGGTTAGTAGACTAAAAGCTTTAGGAATCCAAAGTACAACATATAATAAGTACCCTGTATCAAGATTGATGCAAAACAAGTGACATTTGACCTTTTTAGAGAGGTTTAGCCAAAACCACCCCACCTCTGAGGTGATTTGGGTGAAAATGGGTTTTTTCCATATCTCTGGCCCCCCTTGGTCGATTTTGATGGTTGACACTTCTTTCTGACCGTTAGAGCCAATAGAATCGAAGGGGGAGGCCCCCACACACACACACGTTGTGAAGAGAAAAGGTGGGGGCTGCGCGCATGTAAATGTGCAGCAGAGTGAAGCGATCTCTAGCTCTGGCATTTGGAAACGAAAAAGCAGTTTTATTGCTTATGGATTATCAGAAATCATTTCAAAGAGGGCACAGATACATTGGATGAACCTATGGATTAACTGCTGCATCGTTTTTTTATCGTTTTAATGCCATTGAAGACCAGTTTTGACCAAGGTAAGCCATGTTAGCGTTTCTAGCTACTTAGCTCCACATGTGATGATGTACGCTTTCGTTTATAGCGTCGCAAATGTTTATCACTGAGTGTTGAGGTGGGCACCCCCAGATTCTGTGTCTCCAGGACACCAAAAACGAGTGGTTGGCTGTGCATCTAGGATAAGTAATAAGGGAGTTATTGTGAGTTTAAGTGCCGTTTTAGGTTACATTTTTTCGCCCGTGGCTAATTCAGAGGCTGAGTGTTAGCATTGTGGGTTTTTTTTGGAAAAAAAAAATGAAAAAGATCAGTTAGCTGAGTTTCTTCCCGTTACATGGATATAAAACATTCATAGTTTATTAAATATTAAGATTCCTTAGACGTTGTTTCCTGCAAATGACGCGTTTATCCGCCCAGTACCGGGCGGATGGTGCGTAACAGGTTAAAAAAGAATTATAAAAATTAATATTTTCTTAACCTGTTAAGCACCAAGCCTTTTTTCATGTTTCAGGCTCGAAAATGACATGCCCAAAACAAATGACTACAACTTAACTTCTAAAAGGGTTATATGAATAATTTATTTTATCAAAGCAAGGTTACATCTGTGAGTTGGATGTAGAAGTGTCAGAATCAATATAGATGTTTTTTATTTTAAAGAAAACTCAGATTGAACATAGTAAAAAACTGTAAATTATAGTGTCCGTCCAAATATTATTTTTTACTTATAGTGAAAACTACCCTTGGATGATGGGTTAGTAGACTAAAAGCTTTAGGAATCCAAAGTACAACATATAATAAGTACCCTGTATCAAGATTGATGCAAAACAAGTGACATTTGACCTTTTTAGAGAGATTTAGCCAAAACCACCCCACCTCTGAGGTGATTTGGGTGAAAATGGGTTTTTTCCATATCTCTGGCCCCCCTTGGTCGATTTTGATGGTTGACACTTCTTTCTGACCGTTAGAGCCAATAGAATCGAAGGGGGAGTCCCCCAGACACACACGTTGTGAAGAGAAGAGGTGGGTGCTTCGCGCATGTAATTTAGCATCAGAGTGGACCGATCTCTCGCTCTGACATTTGGAAACGAAAAAGCAGTTTTATTGCTTATGGATTATCAGAAATCATTTCAAAGAGGACACAGATACATTGGATGAACTTATGGATTAACTGCAGCATCGTTTTTTTATCGTTTTAATGCCAGTGAAGAACAGTTTTGACCAAGGTAAGCCATGTTAGCGTTTCTAGCTACCTAGCTCCACATGTTATGATGTACGCTTTCGTTTATAGCGTCGCAAATGTTTATCACTGAGTGTTGAGGTGGGCACCCACAGATTCTGTGTCTCCAGCTGATGCTAATCGAGTGGTTGGCTGTGCATCTAGGATAAGTAATAAGGGAGTTATTGTGAGTTTAGGTGCAGTTTTAGGTTAGATTTTTTCGCTCGTGGCTAATTCAGAGGCTGAGTGCTAGCATTGTGGGTTTTTTTGGAGAAAAAAAATTAAAAAGATCAGTTAGCTGAGTTTCTTCCCGTTACATAGATATAAAACATTCATAGTTTATTAAATATTAAGATTCCTTAGACGTTGTTTCCTGCAAATGACGCGTTTATCCGCTCGGTACCGGGGGGGGCGGTGCGTAACAGGTTAAACACCTTGAATTTCAGGGGGGGCACGGGGCGCAGCGCCCCTCCAAGACAATGGTAGGGGAAATACTGTAATGTAACCCAATTTGTGTTCTTTGAAATTGAAAAGGATATTGCATTGTGTTTGTTACTTTCGTTGCAGTTATATGGCAATTTGGCTTGGTTTCCTATTTTGTATGGACATGCGTTTATTTTGAAGGACAGTTAGCACTGTTGACAGGAAGTTGTTGTTGCTATGGAAACAACGTGACGGAGATTAACGGAGAAAAAGTCATATCTACATATAAAGACGGAGAAAGTAAACGATAACGTTTATGGTTAAGTGTTAGCACCCCCCGAAGAGGCACAAGCTCTTACGTTGATATTGGAGATTTCAATAAATTCCCAAAAAGAAAAACGAATATCCGAATAACGAAATTGAAACCCGAATAGTACTCCAACGAACGAATATTCGGATATTCGGTTATTCGGGTACAGCCCTAGTTCAGAGTGTAATAATCAACATTCTTCATCAGAGAGACTAAACAAATATGGACGCTGAATCTAACTAGAGCTGTCATCCATAGGAAAGAGAGTGCGCCAGGGAACCTACGTCCCTGAACAATAAACTATCTCATGTCAGCTTGGGCTCTGTCATAGACTGGCAACAACAATGCGCCCAAGCTGCCCCTCCTTAAGAGAGATAGCAGCAGAACCCCAGGCCGTAGACATATGCCGTGGGAAAGGAGACAGTGAAGAGAGAAAATGATGAACTGGGTCGAAGGTTGAATACCTAAGCAAATTATTCCCCAACACGGAGTAAAATAATAAACAATTATTCAAAACAAGATAAAAAGCACAATAACTAGAAACACATACAAATGTCAAAATGTTATGTTCAACTAGTATTAAAAGCCAGTGCAAAGAGCCTTCATCTCTCGGAGTAAGACATCAGCTAAATTGACTCAGGCCTAAAAAAGGAATTATATCTACTTTTGTTGGACGATATATTGTCCCAGAGATAATTACGATTAACGATATAATATTGATTTGAAGACAATTTCCTGCCACTAATCAATCCAACACCAGTACACTCTTTAAAACAGCAATCAACTTTTAATTGTTTTGAATAATTGAGTTGGAAATAAATGTGAATTTGAAATACGTAAATGAGTTATTTTTAAAAGACACAAAAGCAAATGTTTTCGTAACGCAGATAAAGAGTTTATGGGATTTATCAAGCTAATCCTTTGCTAATCACATCTCAACTAAACCAACCAATACATGAATTTAGAGCAAAGCAGCGTCTTTGAAAACCATAATTTAGCACTTTAGGAAACTCACCTCTGGACGTAGTTGTGTTTGAGGCACTCTCTCAGACCCGTCTCCACGGCGATGTGGGCGGAGCTCCAGTCGGGGTGGCTGCGAAGGCAGTCCACGATTGGCTGAGCTGACTCCGCCTTCAGAGGAAGTGTCTCATAGAAGGGGCGGAGCTTCAGGGCGTACTGCGGAAACCAGTTCATGGCGTCTTCCTCCGAGCCGACCTGAAACAGCCTGTAGACACACAGAGAGACAGAGAGACACAGAGAGACACACAGACACAGAGACAGAGAGAGAGACAGAGAGAGACAGAGAGACACAGAGAGACAGAGAGACACAGAGAGACACAGAGAGAGACAGAGAGACAGAGAGACAGAGAGAGACACAGAGACACACAGAGACACAGAGAGACAGAGAGAGACAGAGAGACACACAGAGACAGAGAGACAGAGAGACACAGAGAGACAGAGAGACACAGAGACAGAGAGAGACAGAGAGACAGAGAGACACAGAGAGACACAGAGAGACACAGAGAGACACAGAGAGACAGAGAGAGACAGAGAGACACACAGAGACAGAGAGACAGAGAGAGACACAGAGAGACACACAGAGACACAGAGACAGAGAGACAGAGAGAGACAGAGAGACACAGAGAGACACAGAGAGACACACAGAGACAGAGAGACACAGAGAGACAGAGAGACACAGAGAGACACAGAGACAGAGACACAGAGAGACAGAGAGACACAGAGAGACACAGAGAGACACACAGAGACACAGAGACAGAGAGACAGAGAGACACAGAGACAGAGACGGACACAGAGAGACCGGAGAGACCACAGAGAGACAGAGAGACAGAGACAGAGAGACACAGAGAGACAGAGAGGAACAGAGGAGACCAGAGAGACACAAGAGAGACACAGAGAGGACAGAGGACACAGAGAGACCAAGATGAGACACAGAGAAAGGGGACACAGATGAGGACACCACAGAGACAGAGAGACAGAGAGAGAAGAGACACAGAGAGGACACAGAAGAGACACACCGAGACAGAGAGACAGAGAGGATCCCAGAGAAGGGACCACCAGAGAGACCACAGAGAGACCACCACAGAGACAGAGCAGGACACAGGAGGACACACAGAGGACACAGAGGACAGAGAGACAGAGACACACAGACAGAGACAGAAGAGACAGAGAGAACCACAGAGAGGACACTAGAGACCAGAGAGACAGAGAGGACCACAGAGAGACCCAGGAGAGAGAGACACACAGAGACACAGAGACAGAGAGACAGAGACACACACAGACAGAGACACACAGAGAGACACAGAGACAGAGAGACAGAGAGACACAGAGAGACACAGAGAGACACAGAGACAGAGAGACACACAGAGACACAGAGAGACACAGAGAGACAGAGAGACACACAGAGACACAGAGAGACACAGAGAGACAGAGAGACAGAGAGACAGAGAGACAGAGAGACAGAGAGACACAGAGAGACACAGAGACAGAGAGACACACAGAGACACAGAGAGACACAGAGACAGAGAGACACACAGAGACACAGAGAGACACAGAGAGACAGAGAGACACACAGAGACACAGAGACAGAGAGACAGAGAGACACACAGAGACACAGAGAGACACACAGAGACACAGAGACAGAGAGACACAGAGACAGAGCGACACAGAGACACACAGAGACACAGAGAGAGACAGAGAGATACAGAGAGACACAGAGAGACACACAGAGACACAGAGAGACACAGAGAGACAGAGAGAGACAGAGAGACACACAGAGACAGAGAGACACAGAGAGACACAGAGAGACAGAGAGACACAGAGAGACACAGAGAGACACACAGAGACACAGAGAGAGACAGAGAGATACAGAGAGACACAGAGAGACACACAGAGACACACAGAGACACAGAGAGACACAGAGAGACACACAGAGACAGAGAGACACAGAGAGACACAGAGAGACACAGAGACAGAGAGACAGAGAGACACAGAGAGACACAGAGAGACACACAGAGACAGAGAGACAGAGAGACACAGAGAGACACAGAGAGACACAGAGAGACAGAGAGACACACAGAGACACAGAGAGACACAGAGACACAGAGACAGAGAGACAGAGAGACACACAGAGACACAGAGAGACACACAGAGACACAGAGAGACACACAGAGACAGAGAGATACAGAGACAGAGAGACACAGAGAGACACAGAGAGATACAGAGAGACACAGAGACAGAGACAGAGACAGAGAGATACAGAGACAGAGAGATACAGAGACAGAGAGACACACAGAGACAGAGAGACAGAGAGATACAGAGACAGAGAGACACACAGAGACAGACAGAGACACAGAGACACACAGAGACACACAGAGACACACAGAGACACAGAGACAGAGAGACAGAGAGACACAGAGAGACACACAGAGACACACAGAGACACAGAGACAGAGAGACAGAGAGACACACAGAGACACACAGAGACACAGAGACAGAGAAACAGAGAGACACACAGAGACACACAGAGACACAGAGACAGAGACAGAGAGACACAGAGAGACACAGAGAGACACACAGAGAGACACACAGAGACACACAGAGACACAGAGACAGAGAGACAGAGAGTCACACAGAGACACACAGAGACACAGAGACAGAGAGACAGAGAGACACACAGAGACACACAGAGACACAGAGACAGAGAGACAGAGAGACACAGAGAGACACAGAGAGACAGAGAGACACAGACAGAGACACAGAGACACAGAGAGACAGAGAGACAGAGACAGAGAGACACGAGAGCACCAGAGACAGAGACAGAGAGACAGAGACAGAGAGACACAGAGAGGACCAGAGAGACAGAGAGACACAGAGAGACACGAGAGACAGAGAGACAGAGAGAGACACAGAGGACAGAGAGACAGAGAGAGACAGAGAGACAGAGAGACAAAGAGACAGAGAGACAGAGAGACAGAGAGACAGAGAGACAAAGAGACAGAGAGACAGAGAGACAGAGAGACAGAGAGACACAGAGAGACAGAGACACAGAGAGACATGAGAGACCAAGAAGAGAGACACAGAGGACAGAGAGACAGAGAGAGACCACAGAGACAGAGAGACAGAGAGACACAGAGGGACAGGAGACAGAGAGACAGAGAGGACACAGAGACAGAGAGACAGAGGAGACACAGAGAGACAGAGAGAGACAGAGAGACAGAGAGACACAGAGACAGAGAGACACAGAGAGAGACACCGAGAGACAGAGAGACAGAGAGACAGAGAGACACAGAGAGACAGAGAGAGACAGAGAGACAGAGAGACAGAGAGACACAGAGACAGAGAGACAGAGAGACAGAGAGACAGAGAGACAGAGAGACATAGAGACACAGAGACAGAGAGACATAGAGACACAGAGACAGAGAGACACAGAGACAGAGAGACAGAGAGACACAGAGACAGAGAGACAGAGAGACACAGAGACAGAGAGACACAGAGACAGAGAGACAGAGAGACACAGAGACAGAGAGACAGAGAGACACAGAGACATAGAGACACAGAGAGAGACAGAAAGACACAGAGAGACAGAGAAGTTAAACGTTATTAACAGGGACGACAAGATACCAGAAATATTAGTTATATAGAAACTTGGAGGTTGTTTTCCTCTGCTGGTCCCTGAAGGCAGCATCTCCCTGGTCCAATGGGATTCCTCCATGTGATTTTGGATTAAAGGTGGGGTAGGTAATTTTGGAGAAACCAGCTCGAGTGCGCTATAATTTGAAAATACACAGCCGGAACAAATCTGCCACTTCCTTACAGAGCCCCTCCTCCAACACACACGAACGCGCACATGACCAATGAGGGCACGAGATAAGTGTGTGCACAGATGGAAGGCTGACAGGCAGGTAGGCCATCCAGTTATTTTAGCCGGCTCAGATGATTGGTCGTGCTTTTTACAGTACTACAGCTTCCACAGATGATGTTTTTTTTATGGATTTTTTGTCAAAGCACTTCAGATATTCATTGCTATCGGGATGTTAAGAGCATTCCATGGCATATAACAAAAAGTGTATCTCGAGCCGGTTTCTCAAACTTACCTACCCCACCTTTAAGACAGAAAATAATCTCTGTGTCAAACAAACGTTTATGATTCTTAACCGTTTAGTTCAACAGGATAATCTCCACATATTAACACAACCATAAAGGAACTACAGCACGGTCACATGACTTCACGTCACCACCGCTAAGCTAAAGGTGGCTAATGTTGGGCTATAAAGGAACTACAGCACGGTCACATGACTTCACGTCACCACCGCTAAGCTAAAGGTGGCTAATGTTGGGCTATAAAGGAACTACAGCACGGTCACATGACTTCACGTCACCATCGCTAAGCTAAAGGCGGCTAATGTTGGGCTATAAAGGAACTACAGCACGGTCACATGACTTCACGTCACCATCGCTAAGCTAAAGGTGGCTAATGTTGGGCTATAAAGGAACTACAGCACGGTCACATGACTTCACGTCACCACCGCTAAGCTAAAGGTGGCTAATGTTGGGCTATAAAGGAACTACAGCACGGTCACATGACTTCACGTCACCACCGCTAAGCTAAAGGTGGCTAATGTTGGGCTATAAAGGAACTACAGCACGGTCACATGACTTCACGTCACCACCGCTAAGCTAAAGGCGGCTAATGTTGGGCTATAAAGGAACTACAGCACGGTCACATGACTTCACGTCACCACCGCTAAGCTAAAGGTGGCTAATGTTGGGCTATAAAGGAACTACAGCACGGTCACATGACTTCACGTCACCACCGCTAAGCTAAAGGCGGCTAATGTTGGGCTATAAAGGAACTACAGCACGGTCACATGACTTCACGTCACCACCGCTAAACTAAAGGTGGCTAATGTTGGGCTATAAAGGAACTACAGCACGGTCACATGACTTCACGTCACCACCGCTAAGCTAAAGGTGGCTAATGTTGGGCTATAAAGGAACTACAGCACGGTCACATGACTTCACGTCACCACCGCTAAGCTAAAGGTGGCTAATGTTGGGCTATAAAGGAACTACAGCACGGCCACATGACTTCACGTCACCACCGCTAAACTAAAGGTGGCTAATGTTGGGCTATAAAGGAACTACAGCACGGCCACATGACTTCACGTCACCACCGCTAAGCTAAAGGAGATTAATGTTGGGCTATAAAGGAACTACAGCACGGTCACATGACTTCACGTCACCATCGCTAAGCTAAAGGTGGCTAATGTTGGGCTATAAAGGAACTACAGCCCATGAAAAAAGACAAAAAATCATTTTTGTAACTTCTATATTCACATTACAATGATGCACTAGTTAAAAGTATCTTTGAAAATGCTCTGCACACCAGCAAAGCATTGTTTAATATTGTATGTAATTATGGTCTGCAGTGAGGTACTGAGAACACTTTAGCTCTCAGGCCTCTGATGGTAATTTGCAGCGGTCATTATGTTTGGAGAAAACCCACTCCGATCTGTGGCCGAATGACTCAGCATTTCAGATAAATGACTTAAGCTGCTCTCTTGGGAAACAGTGCAGGTCAATAGTGATTTAAACTTAATCAATAAGATGTTTTAGGGTGAAAGTAGAGCTGAAATCTGCATTTTGTACACATGCTTGTCTTAATTTCAGCTGCAATCTGCACATTTAAACCAGAGCTGCCAGGATCGGTCGACAGAGAGAGAAACAGATTGTTCATTCATAAAGAAGCTGTTTTTAGCTTTTCAAATATAGAAAATGTGCTGCTTTTGCCTGTTTTGTATCATATTTAAGAGAATATATTTAATATTCATACATTAAAAGACTGAACAGATCAAGTCATTGAGTATGAACGGTTAGATTAATGCCTTTGGATGACATTTGTAAAGATTTAAGGATTGTTTCGTTATTTCGATATTTTGGTTTCTTCGTCTAATAGTTGTAATGAAGTTGTGAATTTGCACGATCCGCCTTCTAAGGCACTATTATATTATCGCAAATTTAAATATTTGTATCATTTTATACCTATTTTTACGTCTTTTACTAGTAACTGGTTTCTATGTGATATCAATTTCCTGTGAATTGTGAAGCACTTGGGACTGAAAGGTTTTATATAAATAAAACGTATTATTATTATTAATCCATGAATGATCAAACCAATCAATCACGTTGGATTTGGAGGAACTAGGACGGACATTTGTGACAATTTATGGCCATTTTATAAACTAAACAATTAAATTAATGTTGAAAATAATCTGCAGATGAATTGATAAATGTCATTAAGACACAGTTGTGAGTTCCTTTTTGATTTCCTGCTTCTTCACACATGCTCTCTCCAGTACAGGTTAGCTCTGAGTGTTAGCATGCTAATGTAAACACAGACCATATTACTTCCAGAACACGTCTCATTGTTTCTGACAGCAACGTTTCTGATTGGCCCGTGGGTTTAAAGCCCGCCCACATTTTAGTAATGTGGTCATGACGCAGCAAATCTGGA